GAGACCATAAAAAATGGTTATGATATTTAGAATACTGTATCTTATTAATATACATATACATATACATATACATATACATATACATATACACATACCCAGCAACCAAACAGCGGAATGACCAGAATGACTGGTCGACCAGTCACTATGACGCGCACTGGTCAGACACTCAACGCAGGAGCTGTCCCCTGGTGGTCAGTGCACTCCCACAGTCAGAGCAACGCTCACCTGACTGGGATGAGCGGCGCTCCCACAGCAGGCTGATCCCGGCTGGACATGCCCCCACCAGTGCATGAACCCGTGCACTGGACCTCTAGTTGAAAAATAATAACCATTTAACCTTGCTGGTACTAGGTGTTCTTTATTTCAATTCTGACTTTCTGCTTGCCAGATAGTTTTCCCCTTTTTTTATTAAGCAAATACATTTTACCATCAACAAAATCTATTAGCTTTACAAGCAATCAGTCCTTATATTATTCTTATAAAACAATCTTGAGGTTTTCAAAGAACTGCTAAGTAACAAAATTAATAATAATGGATATAAGAGCATATCAGATGTTACTGATTATCTCAAACCAAACTACTCTTAACATATTCTCAAACACATCACTTAAACACTTGTAAATCTCCCCTGCTAGTTTAAAAATTGGGCACTGTTCCCTAAAAAAATTATAATTCTTTTACACTGAACCAAAGATTAAGGTCTAACAGTGTCCTTTCTAATACTCAGGATTCATTCCCCTGGCATAACTCATTTATTTTCTCCCATTTTGTAATAATCATAAATTGACCCAAAAATTTTGAAATGTAATATAATTATGACAAGACAAAATTTTAAACCTTAAAGGGGTAATTCTGAAAAAAATAATTACTTTTTGACATAAAAAAAAGATAATTTATTCACCTGGCCAGCGTGGCTCAGGAGTTGAGCATCGACCTATGAACCAGGTCATGGTTTGGGTCACAGTTGGAGGACATGCCCAGGTTGTGGGCTCAATCCCCAGTGTGGGATGTGTGAGAGGCAGCCAATCAATGGTCCTCTCTTATATTGATGTTTCTATCTCTCTCCTTCTCCCTTCCTCTCTAAAATCAATAAATATATATATTTTTAAGAGAATTCATTCAAGATCTGAAGAGAAAATACACCTCATATCTACAATAGCATACACTGCTTATAAAAATTCATTCTTTATCTTGGCAGCTATCTTAAAAAGTCAGGTAAATAAACATGAATCTTTTGTAAAGAGGCCTTCCCCGTGCCTTATATAGTACAGCAAACCAAGTTATCCTCAGCTATCAAGTTACTCAGCCTGTGTTAAGTGGCAGGGATACTTCTGAATTTATTTATATTACCTTTGGTATTTGTCCCTAACTCCAGCCAACTTTTAACTTTCCTTATCTTAATCTTCATTCAAGGTAATATACAATTTAGCTATTCATAAAAAAACAGAAATTTATGGAAACAAAATGGTTCCATAACTGTAGGTATGTCCAATAGGAAGACCCCACAATTACAAAATCTTCAATTTGAAAATTTTTAAATCTGAAGCAATATTAAATTGAAGAGTTAGTCTCCATTTATAAATGAAGTCAGTATCTTTTCTTTAAATAGCGTCTAGCACACTGACTGGTAACTGGGTAGAAAATATTTATTGAATGAAGAGTGATGTTTTACTAATTTATTTTAAATTACTCCATTCAAAAACTAAAACTCTAATAGACTGAGAAAATCTATAGAAGACTAATGAAATTAGTTGATTACTGGACCACATATAGAGCAAAGTATAAATTACATAGTTTCATATTAATCCCACCACAAATTTGCTTAGCTTTCTCTACTTAAATCACCCCGGAATCATCAATATGTAGATTAGAAAACAAGAACATGAGAAAAACCTTCCTGCTAAAGAGACAACTGACACTGTCGTTACTGTCCAGCCCTATCCCACCCAGGATGTGAATCATCCCTTGGCCCAATGTATACAAACTGCAGATCTACCCACCTGTTCACTTAGTAGCTCTCTGGGTTACCAGATCCACTGTCACGGTAACACAATGCTGTGTTCAATTAACCTTACAGTAGACTACTGTTATGTCACAATGCCATCAGTCTGCCCCAGACAAATAACAAGTATATTTGTAAAGCAAAGGTGACTAAGGGGCCGAAACCGGTTTGGCTCAGTGGATAGAGCGTCGGCTTGCGGACTGAAGGGTCCCAGGTTCGATTCCGGTCAAGGGCATGTACATGGGTTGCGGGCACATCCCCAGTGGGGAGTGTGCAGGAGGCAGCTGATCGATGTTTCTCTCTCATCGATGTTTCTAACTCTCTCTCTCTCTACCTTCCTCTCTGTAAAAAATCAATAAAATATATTTTAAAAAAAAAAAAAAAGGTGACTAAGGGTATGTGGAATCTGAATCACCACGTTTCAGAAGCTAAGAATATTTTAAATAAAAACACAGTTAGTATTTAATATATAAAGTATTATCAAGACAATTAGAGTTACTGTAGTCTTACTGATACACATAGAATTAAGGTACATCTTCAAAAGTCAGTTAATGTGATGGTGTCACTGCATTTTTTGCAATATCATGATGAATCAAGGCTGTCTTTAACAAATTAGCATTTAGAAGCAATAATGTTTTATGAAAATAAAGCATGAAATTAGTAACTGGAGAATTAAATTTTACTTATACGGACATCTTATGATATTTTAAAAAGCTTAGTCTTGAGCACAAAGAGATCTTGGCTATTTTAATTGTAAGGACACAATGAGATTATTTATGAGTAGCTCTTATGAAGGGCTAGTGTTGCAGTGGCAGGCATAATCAACTGAGAGTTTTCTTTAGTGTATAGGTCAAAAATTACAAGGCAGAGAGCCAGCAGTTACAAGAACAAAGATAATCAACTAATGCCAATCAATTAAGTCACAATACTAACAAGTACAAGAACCTTGCTATGTAAGTACTAGTTATTAAGAAGGAAGACTTCACCGGGCCAGTATGGCTCAATGGTTAAGCGTCAGCCCAGGCACCAGTAAGTCACCAGTTTGATTCCTGGTCAGGGCACATGCCTGGGTTTTGGCTCCATCCCCAGTAGAGGGAGTGCAAGAGGCAGCCAATCGATGTTTCACTCTCATGATGTTTCTCTCTCTCTCTCTCTCATATATATATATATATTAAAATTGTGGCCCTGGCCAGGTGGCTCAGTTGATTGGAGTATCAGCCATACACCAACGGTTGCAGGTCAGATTCCTGGTCAAGGCCCATATCTAAATTGCAGGTTCAATCTCTGGTCAGGGCACTTATGGGAGGCAAGTGATCCATGTTTCTCTTTCTCTCACTCCCTCTTATTATAAAATCAATTTTTTAAAAAACATATATCCTCGGGTAAGGATTAAAAAAATAATTAATAAAGTTGTGCTCTTTCAACCTTTAGACGTACATTATATATGCTTACTTAGTTCATCATTATGACTATAAAGTTGAAAAAGTTCATCTTGTAATAGATAAGTATATTAAATTAACACTTTAAATTTAGTGAATTTAGAATTTCTTTCATTGTTATTTTTTCCAGTCATAGAAACAGAAATTCCAGATAAACAATTCATAAGTTTTATATGTCGTGTCATTCTGAGTTATATGACAAAATCTCATGCTGTCCAGCCCCGTCCCACCCAGGACGTGAATCATCCCTTGGCCCCATGTACCCAAGCTGTAGATCTACCCACGCGTTAGTCACTTAGTAGCTCTCTGGGTTACCAGACCCACTGTCACAGTATCACAATGCTTGTGTTCAAGTAAACCTTATAGTAGCCTACTGTTATGTCACAATGCCTACGTCATTCACCTCACATCATCTCATCGCATAAGCATTGTATTATCTCACATCATCATCATTAGAAGGGTGAGTATAGTACAATGAGATAGAAAGAGACCACATTCACATAACTTTTATTATAGTATGTTGTCATAATTATTCTATTTTATTAGTTTTTATTTTTAACCTTATTGTGTCTAATTTATAAATTAAACTTCACCATAAGAGTGTGTGTGTGTGTGTGTGTATGTGTGTATGAAAAAAAACATAGTATGTATAGCATTTGGTACTATCTGTGATTTCAGGCATCCACTGCAGGTCTAGTAATGTATCCCCCATGGAAAAGGTAGGATTACAGTATTATCAAGTGTGGTTCAATCTGGAGTTAGCCTCTAATTCCTCAAATTCTTAATTCTACAGTATTATTTGACATGAGGTAGCTGCATAACAAGATTATCAAAATTTTCTTACAGCACTGGGTCAATTCATTTCTGAGTTGCCAAGCTAGAAAATTGAAACATACAAAATATTTTTAGTTTCCCTCTCAGACAGTCTATTGATACTAAAAAGGTTAAGGTATGGTGAATTTAAAGAACTCCCAAATTAGTAATTCTTAATTAAAAACTTCACAGTTCCTGTGAGATAGTAATTTTTAAAATACCACTGTAGGACAGCAAAATAGGGATGGAAAATCCCAGAATCACATATAAAGTTGTTTTTATCTGAAAGACAGAACCCTAAGAACATTAAATCTTTAAAAAGAAAATTTTATTCACATTTCAAACCTTTTAAGATGTTTTACCTATGCTAAATAAGGACTAGGCATTTTTTCATAAGGCATAAAAGAAAAAAATATATATTTCTCTATCATAAGCATGAGGAGGGGAAGTCAATTAAGTAAAAACCAAAAATTAACAGTGACAATTTAATATTTTATCGAGGGAAAGAAAATGAAATGACATATTTCCCAATTATGGAATACAATACTACATATTTTAATGTGCAAACAGGAACAATTATTTCCTGTTAATCTTATGTAGTATAAATATCCTAATCCTATGAGGATTAAAGTCATGGTGTTAATTATTTCCTTATAGTTCATATAATTTTAAAGATCAGATTATTTATATACATCTACTCCACTGACAGGGTCAACTATGTACAATCTCAAGTTTAATGCACTTACAGTTCCTTGTGCTTGTCTTCAGCCAAGATTTGGTCATTTGCTTTAAGAGAATACCTGTAACACAGAACAAAAATATAGTGGTCATATAAACATTCAAGACGTTTGACTAATAGACATCTAATTATAGTACCAATAGTTGACACCTATCAAAAAAGTACTATCACACTGTTATAGATCTCTGTCTTAATCTGTAAAAAATTAAAAACGCCCAAGTTCTTTGCTGTTCAATTAGTCACGTCCACACACACCACAAGAATTGAAGAGATCAACTTGACCATGCTTTGACAACACAAGATATCTTCAATATTCTTCTGTAGTGAATCATCTATAATGTTACTGATCTAGCAGGTCAAATTCAAGAAGCCACTACAATGGTAAGTATTTAAGAGTTCATTAAAAATATGCAGTTACTCGCCCTGGCTAGTGTGGCTCTGTTGGTTGAACATCGTCTCATGCTCCCAGAGGCTGCTGGTTCAATTCCTTGTCAGGGCACATGCCCAGTGTGTGAGCTCAATCCCCTGTAGGGGGTGTGCAGGAGGCAGCTATCAATGTTACTCTCTCTCTCTTCTTTCCTTTCTCTTTAAAAATTCAGTAAAACATATTTTTAAATATGCAGTTATTCATTCATTAAACAAATAGTAACATCTACTGTATGCCAGACTATGTACTAGATAGTGTGACACAGGAGAAAAAGTTTTGAAGTTTCTGATTGAACGATTTACTGCCTTAATGACTATAAGCAATTATTTCGCCCCTTTACGTCTCAAATTCCTTATCTATAAACTAGAAGCCCAATGCACAATATTCGTGCAAGAGAAGGCCCTCCCTCCCCCAGCTGCCGGCACCGGCTTCCCTCTGGCACCCTTGACCCTGGCTCCCCTCCAACCGGCAGCAGACACCCAGAACCCAGGCTCCCCTCCGGCCACTGGCAGGCACCTGGGACCCAGGCTTCCCTCACAGCCCCGGCTTCGTCAGGAAGGTCGTCCGGAAGGACGTCCAGTCTAATTAGAATATTATGCTTTTATTATTATAGATTAGAGGTTGCTATAAATATTAGAACAGGGATCTTTCAAAGTACTGCAGAAGGTAACAGAATTTCTAAGAAGTACGCTACTGAAATAGGTTCAAAAACAATGGACAGCAATTCCCAGGTTCTGAATTTCCACTTGTATTCCATCCTTTCCTAAAACTAATCCACCTGACAATAGATCAGAGGTCCAAGTGGAGTGACCATGTAGACTCTCCTTTCTTGCCTCCCCTTTCACAAGTGCTTTTACCAACTAAATAAAAAGAATATCATACCTATCACCCACCCTGAATAGAACTATATTGCACTGCATAGCATGTAAAAATCTCTGAAGTACTAAACTAGGAATGATTCATACTTTGTCCACAAAGCCTTCTTTAATACCACAAACTGACTACAAAGTTCCTGTTTTATACATTATTTCTATAAAAAATGAAGCCAGAAATTATAAATGGGGAACTGTGATAGTGTGTTCTATTTGCAGACACATAATGGAATGGAGCAGAAGTTGGTTGCAATTTTATTTAAACAGATTCTCTCTTTCATCCCATATTCATCACCAGAGAATGTATTACTTTTCAGAAAGAGTCCTGTTAAACAACTGTAAGACAGTTTCCAATAAGAAACAAGAAAGACAAGTGTCACCTTATTTCTTCTAGGAAACAAACTTAAAAAAAAAAAGGCTCCTTGCTCTTCCATTTATCTATCGAGGATTAAATATCAAAGATGGTTGTCACAGAAACAGAATCAAGCCATTAATTTGAACTGAAAAATGAGACCAGACCTTTTCTATAATGAAAATAAATCTGATTGGTTTGACAATGAAGAACAATTTTGCCAAAAAGGTTCCAAGGCCTTAAACTGAATGAATGGCTTTAATTAAAACAAATTTAAGGTACTTGATAAAAACATTTTATCCAAAAAAGAATCCTTTTGTCAAAGGCATATTGAAATTAACAATATTTAACTTTTACCATCACTTCCTGAACTGTTAAGGTCAGCATACAACTAAAAGAAAAAAACCAATAGACATAATTACTAGTTATTTAAAAAGCCTAAATAAAGACAATTTTGGTACACTTCCCAGAACTGTATGTCTCTAATGACTCTAATAAATGACCAAGTCAGGTGGTTTCTAATTCTTTGCTTCCAACCTCTAATCTACACTAATAAAAGAGGAAAATGGTAATTGGCGTACGACGCTACCCTTTTCATTGGCTAATCAGGGCTATATGCAAATTAACTGCCAACTCAGATGACAGTTAACTGACAACAAAGATGCCGGTTAATTTGCATATGTAGGCACAATGCAGGGAGGCGAAAGGGAAAGCAAGAAGAATCCCCCTGCCACTGACAGTGATTGGAAACCCAGGGGGGAGCTAAGAGCTGGGGGGCAGGGCAAAGGTGGCCCCAGAGAATCAGGTGCCTT